CATGAACTGGACAATCTGTGTAAGTTCAGAGTTCCTCCATGCTGGGAGATAAAAGATCAAAGATGGAAATTTGGTCTCAGATAAATATACGTTTCTGCCTACTTCACTCTTGAGCCAGATTCATCTTTCCCTGGACTTACTGAGCCAGAACTAATGGGTCTCAGATCTAAATGACTCTTTGGGGCTGGAGCAAGGCTGTTAGCAAGGTTTTATCTCTAGAACAAATCCCATTCCTTTGCTTTTGCATCTGTCAACCTTCAAGTCCCCTGTCTTCTTTTGCCCAAGATACTTATGCAGAAGTTACTGAGAAAGGCAGTTGGTCTCCACATCAGAAAATTTTATCATCATTATTGTGTCCTCTGATTTGTAAGACGCATTCACTTTTCTTCATTAAACTCTATAGCAGTTTGCTAAGTTCTTGGCACAGACTCATTTCTTACCCTTTATTGTCTCCTCCTGGTCATCAGAGGGAGAGCTGTTCCTCTCCATGGATGGAAGGAGGTCCTTGCCCAGAAGACACAACCCACCACTAAAGGCAGTAAGGAAGTGGGTTTCGGTCTAGAGACGAAATGGCATACAGACTGGCCTTCTAGTAGACTTGGTGGACTTCATCCAGTAGACCTTGCCACGCTCATGTGTGCCACTTGTTGCAATGGTAATACAGAAAATGCTCTACCTTGCAGTAATACAAGTGATTTGAAAGAAGGCAATTAACTGATGAAAACTCTGTCCTAGCACGAGCTCAGTCTCAGCAAGCAAGGCTGGCATCAATGTTTCCCCTCACAGAAGGATTGGCCTATCTTTGCAAATAAACCCCAAAATAAAGGGACTTGCAAGACAAGGAAGGATGCCGAGATCAGTGGCACAAAAAAGCATTAACAGCTGCCTAGGTTTCACTGACTGTCTCTCATTTCCCAAATTGTTTGTCCAGTGTTAGGCTGTCTTCCTTTCCCTCTTTGCTCTGCCCAACCCCTTTGCACAACTTAATAGGATGACAAGAAGGAAAGCACATCATAGAAGGAGGGAAAATGCACAGATATTGTTGAAGAGTTGCTTGGGTTCCCCTAGAAACATAAGGTAAGCAATAACATGCACAAAGACTATATCCTTTGCACAGTGTCTTGTCTGGCCCTGTTGATGCGGAGTGAAATAACACCACAAATTGGCTGCCACATCTGCTCTACCATATCTGTGGCACAGCTGGACTTTCCGTGCCACACACTGCAGCCCCTTGGACGTTCATCGTGATGATAAGGAATGAATCCACCCTTTTCCTAGTGCAGATATCCCTATTATGTGTCTTACAGAAGAAATGTGTTTGCAACTGCTGGGAAAAGGCACTGAGTGGTATCCCGCTGCTGTATACAAAGGCACAGTTGCTAAATAAGTAAACCTGCACAGCCTGTGACCGAGCGATAGGTTTTGATAGTTTGGTACCTCCTGGCTGAAAATTCCCCCTTCCACCCAGGAGATGGCACTAAGGCCCCCACACAGAAAGCATCGCTTTCACCTTAACCAAAACTTTGCTTATTTTCAGATATGCCCTGGGGATAAAAGCCACAAAATTTGCATTCACTATGTTGCTGCATCCTGCGATGGGACCAACTAAGTCTGATTTCTGCAAGGGTAACATGCTCCTGGAAGACGGCTTCTGCTCTCTCTTTGCCAGCTTGTTTCTCTATGCTGCTTTTTGTGGGTTTTTTCCTTTCTTTTTTTTTTTCTTTTTACTAGTGTAAATCTTGATGTCCTCCATACAAACATCTCATCCCTCTCTGAATCCTGTCGAGACCGTCGCTGCTGTTGTCTGGTGCTGAGAGCAGACAGCCTGTCTGAATTGTGCAGAAAAGGGACTGAAAAGCCGTTCTGAGGTAATTCCAGTGTTAGCTGGAGCTTTTCACCTCTTTTTGACCCCAGCGCTCTTTGATTTTAAGCCTATATCATTCACATGAAGAGGCTCCATCCACCCTGTAATAGGAACATCAAAGGGAGCACCAGGGAGACAAGGCAAGTGGTCTATGTGGCTGACTCCCCTCTGTAATTTGAATATATTTGCATGCAGCCTGAATGTCCCCCATTAAAAAATGGTAATTGCTCCATGGAGCACTATGAGAGCTTGCTGAAGTCACACGTCACACTGCGATAACCACTGCCTGCCCATTTGTGTGCTGGAGCTGGCTTGGAGCCATCTCGGTTTCCATGGGAGTGGGGAAAAAATGCATTAACAGAAATTTCTGCCAAAATCAGACAGGCCAATATCAGAAATGGTTGATGATGAAGGTCTCCATAAGCTGGCCTGGAAAGACAAATGTATGACAGAAATAAATGCATCTCTGAGAAGATAAATGGTAGAATCTGAGGATGCAACAGGCAAGATCACAGAATTACAGAAAGGTTGAGGTAGGAAGGGACCTCTGGAGATCATCTAGATAAGCAGCTCTGCATTTTTTTTGCAGAGAGCAATCAGCTCTGCCTTGAGCAGCTCCTCCAAGAGGAGGACGAGTCTGAGGTGGGCAGGTGAGACCCGCCAGCCACACTACAGGCTGCTGCTCTGCTGAGTGTTGGTGTCCAGACTGTCCCCTTGACTGCAGGCAAGGGAGGGCCTGCAAGGTGGAAGCAGGTTTTAAGGGCCTTGTTTTACATTTGATCACCAAAGGGGTTTAAATGAGTGCACTGCCAAAACATCCAGGAAGGACAAACACCCTCAAATCAGCAGCTTCACTCCTTCTCCCCGGCACATTGTTAAGTACCACATTAGCAAATGGAGCATTAGTATGTCTGGTCAGGCAGCTTTATTAGTGCTTCCGACAGTGTGTAGCATTAACATATCTTCTGATTCACCCATTTGTTTCCTCTTTTGTTGCCTGTTTTTATTAGCCTTTAACAACATATTTGTTTCTGGAGAAGATTGCTTGAAATTACCTTGTATATGAGCCCTAAACACCCGCTTAGACACGGGGCCTCTGCCAGCATAACCACCCAGTGCAAAGGAGCTATCTCAAAATCTGCTGGAGGAGAACGTCTCCAGCATGGGGAGGCAGGTTAATGGCATTCTTCCATAAGAAAAACCCATCCGTAAGGCCATGAGATGCATTTTATTTGCTGCAAAAGTGCATGTCCCATTAAGAATGTTTCTATTCTCATGATCCTGTTCTCTGAAGAAATCAAACATCTCTGTCTCCCCTGAATCCCCCGATGTAGACTAGTCTTATTTTCCCTCCATTTTTAAGTTAAAGGAGGTTTAATGTTGTCCTACAAATTCTCTGTTATGCTCTGTTTTCTAAGCATATTCCCAATGACTCTTGCACTTCTTTATACACCATATCTTTAGGTACAGTGAAAATAACCTGTAATACCCAAAGTGGTGCACTGACTGTTGTCAGCATCTCATCCCAGAGTGGGAAGAGGGTGCAGCTTCGCAGCAGCTGGAATCTGTTTACTTCTCAAGCTCATTTGCTTTGAGATTAGCCTTGCCAGTGGTCATTTTTCACAACCTCCCAATATTTCTGCTCTTGCAGTAAAAGAGCTGCTGATTTACCTAAGGTCTCGCAGCGGGTGGATGGAAACATTTATTGCAGGTAAGTAGTGATGGGCTGAAACTTTTGCAGAATATGGACACAAACAGCAGCAAGGTCACACAGCTAAGCAGGAAGGCTGTGAAGTGCCTGGCAGGCTCCTTTGGGATCAAAATCCCTGGGACATCAGTCCTTCGAGCACTGGGCTTTGCAGCCAGGCTTGGGATCAGCAGCTCTGCAATGCCATCTTCAGGCAGGCAGCAGTCTTGCTGCCCGCAGAAATCCCTGGAAATTGCCCTCAATTCAGGAAGGAAGACAGAGGGAATCAATTCTGGCTTAAAAATCATTAGCAGAAATTGCTAGCCTAGAATTGCAAGCCTAGAAGGTGTTAAATACAAAAGAAACAAAGAGCTCTGCAAGGTACTAGACCAGGTGCCCTGGACAACCCGTATATCTCCTTCTCTATGAGCACATAAGGCTTTGAGAAGAACACATTAAAGCAATGCCACTGACACAAGCTACTACTTTTTGGAAGATGCGGTTTATTGGCAACTTTTATTTATAGTACATGAATTGAAACCATCTGAGTGATTTTAGCTCCATGGACTGCCTTGTGCAAAAGAGTGTTTTTCTGATACTCTAAGAACTAGAGTTCTTGCGAAGGGAGTTAACAAAAGTATGTATGTAGAGAGGTCTTTGCTGAGAACTTTACAAATATTCTGTAGCCACAATGGTGGGTTTGGAAAATGAAGTGCGTCCAGGCTTCCAGGGTCCCCTCCAGACAGTATCATATGGATAACTTGGAGAACCACAGAACTGTAATCACAGAATAGTGTGGGCAACAAATTCTAAAATAAATCAGAAACTGAGAGAACAGTGAAGACTGAGACCTGCGGAGATCTTCTGGTGTAACCTGCTGAGAAAAGGCCAGCTTGGATGAGGTTGCTCAGGGTACTGTTTAGTCAACTTCTGAGCATCTCCATGAGATTCCACCACCTTTTTGGTCCCCAAGACAGTGTTTGACCATCGTCATGGTTAAAAATGTTTTCCTAGTATCTAATCATAGAATCATAGAATGCTTAAGGTTGGAAGGGACCTCTAGAGATCATCTAGTCCAACCCCCCTGCACACAATCAAAAGATTAGATTTTGCAATCTGTCGTCTTTCATCCCATCTCAATATAGTGATTGTCCTGTAACCATATAGTGTCTTAGACATTAGAATAAAAGATCGCATTACAGAACTGATTGGAAAATCACTTCTTAGAACCCCCGGATGAGGTTCTACCACTCAGAACAGTATCTCAGTAGTGAAACTCTTATTATTTTCTATCAGGTCTTACAACAGTTTGTACCAGGTCTCACAGTTATTTGCACTTTTTATCCACAGCTTCAGCTGTGGAAATCCCATGATTTCCCATGACCAGGGACTCAGCTTTCACTGCTCATGGGTTATCTCTACACTTACCATGGGCAGCTGTAGCACCTCTCACTGGGCTGTGTCCACTGCAATCACATCCTGAGAGGACAGCATGTGGGGGAGATGTGGGACGGGCTTTATGGCCGAGCACATCCCCACAGCGGGGATTTGGGGTGACCGGGTTAGTCTGTTCAAGAAAATGCTGTAGTTGTCCTCATACTCTGATACCCAGTAGTTCCTGCAGAGAACATGGAGAAGGGGGTAAGAAGAGGATCTCCATCCTTTGGTATATCTGGGAGCAATCTGCCACCCAGATCAACCGTTACAAAAACTTGGCCCACCAGCCCACACATAACTCCAAGATCATAGATCAAAATCAACACTTCAGTGCAAACCTGAAATATGTGCGTACCAGGGGAGGGAAGGGAATGAGGCAGCAGGGAGGAATTGCCTTTCTAGTGAGAAACGAGAGCTCAGGAGCAGTTGATGCCTGTTTGCTCATAGTGTGCAGATGAATCACATTGCAAACACCTCCTGCCCTAATTTGAGAGGGCCATTTTGCAGGGGGAGACCTGGCAGTGCACTGTTGAGAGACATCTCCTTCCAACAGTCCCACAGGGGCTTGACTCCTTCTTCCCAAGAGGGGTACAGCAGACATTATCCCAGGAGAGGAAAGTTTCCCAGCTCATATCAATCCCACCAAAACGTGTTCAAGAAAAGACTAAGAAAGTCTTGTGAAAGGATTTGACCCTGAGGGAATTCATTTGAGCTCATTGCATAACATGGACAAGAAGAAATACACTTGTGAAACGCCTTCTGATCCTGTACAGTTCCAAAACCTACATATCCCCACTGCCAGCACCCACCCTATCCCCTATCCCCGCTCTGTCTTACTGGTTAAAGCACTCATCTTCAGTAAAAATGTGTGAGAAAGTCCTATTTGCTTTACAGTATCCACCACGGGCTCCAAGCAAGGGCTGGAAATCTGTCTTGTAGGTACTTCTGTGGTCACAGTCAAAGCACTCTAGTAAAATAAATAAATAAATAATTCAAATAATTGAAAGGGTTTTTTTCAAGTCTCTATCTTATGTATGCTGTATTCCGTCTTCTGCCCCTTGTCTGAACTTCGACTGTTTATGCTTTCAGCACTTCCACTGTAGCTGCCATTATTGAGATGCAACAAGGATTAGCCACAATAGGAAATGCAAGAAGCGCTTCTCTGGTCTAGACAAGATTATCAAGCCCTTATTTTCTACGGCCTTTAAAGTATGATGCTGCCTCCAGAGCAGAATATGGTGCTTAAGCCATATTCTTTCCAAGAAGAGGAAATTCAGTCACAAGCCTTCGTGGCACCTCTAACTGCTCCCTTCATCACAGCTGGTAAATAGAGCCAGGCATTTCTGCAACCAGCAGCCTGGAGTGAAGGATCCTGCACATGTCCTTTGGTGGATACCCACAGCAGGCATTGGTATGGACCACAGCAGCCATATGGAGGATGAGGTCTGAAGACTAGACCTCCTCCTCCTCTCGCTAGACTCTTCTTGTGAAATTCTGGATGTGCAAAGCTGGATGTGCATCAGTGGATGTGCAAATCCAGTGATGGATGCCCACTGAGCACATGGCAGTAACCTTCCCACCAAAGCTGCTTCCAAGGACCTTTCACATTTCATTCACTTGCCCTTCAACTTCCTCAGTCTGACCCTGCATTAACATCAAAAACCCAAAGCCAAACCAAAGGCCACAAGTCATCTACGTGAAGCAGTTGTCACAACCTCCATCAACTGACCTTCCCCCAAAATAGATGATCCCAAGACCATGCTCCTATTTTCTTGAGCTTTAAATTGCCTTGCCCGACACGTCTCCAAGATGAATTGCTGGTAGGTAGCCCAGCCCTCAGCCAGCTTCTGCTTGCGCAGCAACATCCCTAGGAGATTGAAGAACAAGAGAGCACATTAGACTGGGAGCACCATCAATTACTCACCCAAATCCTACCCTTGGGCTAAGCTAAGAGAGATCTGAAGCCTCCGCTGGCATAAATCAGGTGCGACCCATTCATTTCAGCAGAACCTTGCTGAGTTGTATCAATTTTGAATTGATTTAGCTGATCCCAGTGATGGAAATATATATAGTGATGCTAAGCAAGCAGGTATGGCTAGCTTTGTGGAAGGTAGGAGCCATGCTGTCTCTGTGTTGCACTGGAGCATTAAAATGAGTTGAGACTTTTTGCAAGAAGTTAGTGAATAAAAGGGAAAGACTTTGCTGGGCGGAAGAGAAAAGCCCACATAATTTGTCTCATTCATACAAGACAGCCTTAATTTGGCTTGGCAAGGAGATGTTCAAAGACCTCAGATATCAAGTGAAGGATTCACCTATCTAAATGGGGACATGTCCCTCAGGGCTGCTTGCCCAGACTCTCCTCCCTGTTTGTGGAGAGAGGAGAGTCGTGCCAGGGTTTAATTCTTCTCATCTTCCAGGTGGCATTTGTCTCTACTAATCATGAAGGGAGCTGAAATGATCATCTCCAGAGATGAACTCAGACAGCAGAGAGAACATCCCTGTTTCATGTCCTCCTGTGTGGTCATGAAGCACTGCTGGAAAAAAAGGGACTCCCAGCAGGACTCTCTCACCAAACTGAGCCAGGACATTGGGTCTGGCCGAGGCTTTGTCAGCTCACAGTTTGCAGCAGGCACATCTTGACACACAGAAGAGCAGACAGGTCATCACCAGGAAAGATGAGGGAGCAAGAGGGAAAAACAAGAAATCCTTAGAGTAACTTGGTGCCTAAAAAGCCTCCTCAAGGCTGAGTTTCCACGCATAGAAACAGAAATAAAATTCACAGATGCTCCTGTGCACCACAATGCCAGAAAACAAGATAAAAGTTCTGAAATCCCATAGAGAATAACAAAAAGCCCCAGCAACTTCCACCATAATAAAAGGACAAAGGATCTTGAGGTAGTTGATTCACAAGGAAGAATGAAACAGTGTTCTTCCTGCTGCCCTCTTCCCTTTCACTCAGGAGCTCAGAGGAAGATCTCAGCTGCTTTGGGAAGGTTGATCAGGGCTTGGTGAATTTGGTCATCACTAACTTTGTTTTCCTGAAATCCTAGCTCAACAAGCCATTGGCATTTTAATCTACACAAGCAGACAGTGAACTGGAGTTCAGCTGAGGCCTCGCTCACACTGATTTCCTGCTGCATTTACTGACGTTGTAGCTACCTCTGACAGAAGGGCATTAAGGGCTTCTGGTTTGGCTCCCCTTTTCCACCTCCAAAATGGGGTTGACTGCGTCTCCCTGTTTCACATAGGAGCTGGGAAGATAAAAACCCTAAAGATTGCAGTGCAAATACTTTGGTATCAGGGCCTCTTTACGTAGCAAGAGTGGGTTTGTAGAGTTTTCTGAAGGCAAATTCAAGCTCGCTATGCCTGTGCTTTTTGCTGGCCAGAAAGCTGCAGGTTTGTGTTAAAAGGGTGCTGTGCCCAGGGCACAGCCCTGCGCTAATGCTCTGTCTGGAGTTTGGAATCCGCCTGTGTCCGGCCAGTTCAGTCCAGGAGCAAAGGGAGCTCAGCTGGCAAAGGACCATGCAGACAGCCCCTCAGGTAGCTAGATAGGGCTAGTCAGCTGTTCACCAGCAAACAGTGCCAAGGATGTGGGAATTACCTTCCGTTCCAGGAGTCTGAACTGCAGCCGGAGGACACTGGGAATAAGAAAGCTCTTTTTCTGGCTTAGTGAGAGCCTGTGGCCTCTCCAGTTTCTCCTTCTGGGCTGCTCTTTCTTCAGTGACAGACTGGTATTTTGGTAGATAGCTTTCTGCGCTGGAAAGGATTGAATTGAAGTACTTCTGCTCCTCTTTTCCAGACTGCTGGTGTGACTCAGGCCTGGAGGAGCTACCTTCCTGCTTCTCTGGCATGTCATCAGAATGCCTGTTCGCTTCACTGCATGGGCTTGAGGTGACTTCTTTGCCCTCTCTGACCACATGATCCCAGTAGTTCATCAAACGCTGCCCTTGAGGTACTGCAAATTCCTTGGCTTTTAGCTGGGAATCTGCAAGCTTTAGCTTCTGCAGAAAGAAGTCATATGTGAATGGAGACACAGTGAGGTAGGATATAACACAACACTATCCGCCCACAGCAAAACGTGAACTTTGGTGCTGTCTCTAAGACCAAGGACACTACAGCCACAAAGCAGCTCCATAACTGTACCATTAAGTTATATAGGGCATCACAGCTTTCTCTTTCTGTCCTTTTTATGGCTGCTCCAGCTGTGCCACCTTGCACCCAAGCAGTGTTCCCCTCATCCCTACTCAGACACTCCAAGAGGCCAAGCTTGCAAACTGTGCCCCAAACCCAGGCTGTTTATGAAACCTGGAATCTGTGGCAGGGATCTTGTCTGGGAAGGGTCCACAGGTGATTTGGCAGCTCAGCGTCATCTGCAACATTGCTCCGCAGGCAGATGAGGCAGATGGTTTGGGCTGGGTATGCCCTGCACGGTAGGGAGACACACATGGGCCTCTTCTTTCATCCACCGTCTTCTTTCCAGCCTGCTATGCCCAGACTTCTCAGGGTGCTGAAGTAAATCAATCATGTGGGGACATTCTTTGAGCCAACATGCCGCTACCTAACCTTCCTGGGGACTTTGCTGGGCACACAGATCTATCTGCAACAGCCCAGTGCAAACTGCACTCAGAGCGCAAACCCTGACCCACAGTAGATCCCACACCAGGATTTTCTCATTGGTGGCATGATGTTAGGAAATAAACTACCATTTTAACCCATTTTCTTTCTGCTGTCACTGAGAGCTGTGAAGCCTCTGCTAAACTACCTCCATGTTCTCAGGTCAGGGATGAGAACATCAAATAGCAGGCAAAAATAGCCCACTTAACCTTCCTTAATGAGCATGTTCCTGATAAATAGATGGACCAGATAGATGTATGAAGGCATATAATGCTACAGTGACCTGATTGCATTATTTGTGACCCTCAGCCCCTGGAGATGACAACACATCCTATGAAGGGAGGGCAACAAAGACTATGGATTCAGCTAATTTTGCCAGCAGAGGGAAGAGAATCAACCCTGACACAAACAGAAAGACTAATGTGGATGGTGGTGTCGCTGCTCTTGTGGGTCTGCTGGCTTCAGCATCTCTTAAGCTGCATTCTGCAGCTCTGTCATGAGCAAATGGCTTCCTTTTAAGGGCCCAGGAAAGGGCACTCCTGCTGCGAGCTGCCTCACGCCCCTGAAGTTAGCAAGGCTGCTTGCTCAGTGAGCATCCTCATGGGCTTTGCTCCTCAGCTCCTCCCTGACGTTTTTTTTGGCCCTCCATGGGCTTCTGCTTGCGCCTCGAGATCAACGTCCCCAGGGCTCTGTCCTTCCCTATCACTTCTCCAGCTCAAGACAACTTCTTAAACACACTTATGACAGGGCAAGTCGGGGTTGCAGAGTTCTGGGAAATACTTGTATTTGGGGCAACCTCATCTGAGGATGGAAAGGGCTCCTAACGACAAATCTCCTGAGAAAGTAAGAGCCTCCTGAGGCTCATGGTGGAGACAGCTCCCCAGTTTCTGCTTTAAGGAGCTCTCCAACTTCCACTTTCGGATAGGGCTACAATTAAAATTTCACTTGGGAAAATGCCAAAGTGACTCTAACCTCTCAAAAGCACCTAGTGAGTCTAAGAGAGAAATCTGGGCGTCCTGAGTACCTCATCAGCACACTACCCACTAGGATAACTTTTTTAATAGGCCTTTATATTTAATATAGGATCAATAACGAGCCAAAGAGAGCCACAACCCAGTGAAAACAAACATGTATGAGACCTCTCTTTATCTCTCACACCATCTAGCCGACACGTCAAGACTTCCGCAAAAAGCATGCAACCTTCCAAAGACTTTTGTAAAGTAAAAATAAAACAGCAAAAATAATAAAAAAAGGCTGAAAAAAATAGTGTAGGTGTGCAGCTCTGCGTCCACGCTGGGTTGCACCGCAGCAGGCAGGGGGTTAAATGCCCTGCCCGCCAAGTCAGGATCTTGGAAGCAGAGCAGCCACCTAAGGCTTGGGCTTCCTGCAAACCACTCGCCAGCCTCGGAGAACAGCGGGAGCCCGGAGCAGGGAATGTTAATGAACGGCGCTGGCAGCGGTGCCCCTTCCCAGAGGGCAGGAGGAGGGGAGCTGACAGCGAGGAAGGAGCGGGAGGGAGACGGGAAGGGAGCAGAGGCTCCTGAGCTGCTTGGGATGAGAGGACGGGGAGCCCAGAGCCCGGGTCTCGCCTTGGATTCATGCAGGTTATTCCTGCGGCCGCTCCGGGGCTCACACCATCCCTCCCGCTCCGGCACCTTCCCCTCCCTGGCCCAGCGGGCGCTTTCACACAACCATTTCTCTGTCGTTTTTCCCCACCCCAGCCTGAACTTTTTTTTTCTTCTTTCCCCCCCTCCCTTAGGAGTGTAGGACAGATCAAGCCACCTTAGCAGCCCAGCGTCCCCCCGGCTCCCTCTCTGCAGTGGCCCAGTGCAACCGCAGCTGTCCCGGCCGCGCTGCCACAAGCAATTAGGCCCAGGCAGGCGGAGCGCAGCAAATCAGATTAAATAGCTCAGGGGGTCGCTCTCCCTGCAAGGAGCTTAAAAATAATAATAACAATAAATCCCTGCAGAAGTCTTCTCGTCCTGTGGCAGAGCAAGCAGACGTCTTCATCACCAACACCCGCCCTGCCTCCCGTGGCAGCATCAGGATGGGCCTAATCCGGACTCGCTCCATTGGCCCCAGGGGAAGCAATAGGACTCGGGGGCTTAGGCCCTGCTTCAGCAAGCAGTCATTAGAGCCCTGACTTAATGAGTGTAATTAGCACTGCCCGCCCCGAGCGCCTCTGCTGCAGGCTGCCAGGGGGATTTCCCACAGAGGGGGCGTCCCAGCACAAGCCGCGGGATCTGTGCGTGGCATGAGGCAAGGACCCATGCACGGCTCTGCAGTGCTGGTGGCATCTGTGCCCGTCGCGATGTTGGCGGTGGCTCCATTCCCTACGGCCACAGGAGGGGGATGGAGGCCCATGGGGCAGCCTGCGCCATGGGCCAGGCAAGAAGGACCTGTGGTACCTCCAAGCGCTCCTCGCTGGGCGGCTGCTGCTCCTGCTGACATCCATAGTCTGCCGTGTACAAGCTCCGGTACATGCCCAGCGACACCGGGGCCTGAAACAAGGGAAGGGAAACCCAATGCAGCTCTTGCTCGGAGCCCAGTGCTCAGATGCCCCTTGCTAGGGTTTAGGGGGAAGCCTTTGAGGATGATAATACAACCACTACTTCCTCAGAGCTCCAGAGAGGATGAGCTGCTCCTCTGGATCTAGCATCTGTCCCCTGGGCCAGCTGTGGTGAGTCCAACAGCGACAACCCCTTACTCAGTGGAGCCCAGAGCAGGGTGGGTAGGAGGGTCCCATACTCTTTTGGCAATGGGCTTTAGGGCTTCTCTAGTCCTGGACCTTTCCAATGTGCACATTCCTTCTACTTTTCTCCAGTCAACCCTGACTGCTGCTGCTGCTTAGCCCTGGGCAGAGCCCCAGTAAAGAGCTGCTGAAACAGCCCAAGCAGCTGCTGAGGTCCAGTGTGGCTCGGGTTAAATGTATGTGCTGCAGGCTCACATTTCAGTAATATTTCCCTTGTGCTTATCACACATTTAAAGTTAAGTGCTGGCTAATGTCAATACTTGTTCGACCAAGTGATTGGAGAAATTATGGAAAAAAACTCTACCAAGGGCTATTCAGCACAATGGCACCAGCCCTAATGCTCAAAATCAAACTGCTGGAACTGGGGAGAGGATTTTAGGGCATAGGCACTTTGTGCTCTTCTTGCTTCCTATGCCCCTCCCTTGGCATCCACGACGAGTCACAGCTGGAGACAGGAAATCGGGTGAGATGAGCCTTCGGGCTGATCCAAGATAGCTGTTCTTATGTTAAAGCATAAAATGTGCTAACCCTCAAACACATTGCACAGGGCTCTGAGGGGTGAGGGCTCTAG